AGCTGTTTCCATAATCAGATACATAACAAAGTTAAATAGATATGGAGAGAGAGGGCAACCCAGTCGAACACTTTCCGTGGTGAACTCGGGAGACGAAGTGCCATAAGCCCGGACTCGACTTCGGATATTAGTATAAAGCGACCGTAATATTGAAATTAACTTCTCGGGCACACCTTTCAGAAAAAGGCAGCGCCAGAGTTTAGAGCGGTCAACTGAGTCGAAAGCCGCTTTCAGATCTAGAAAAGCCGCTTTCAGATCTAGGAAGACAGAGATGGTGGGTCTACGAAAAGAATGCCGGTGCTCCAGAATTTGGTGCAGAGTGAAGATGTGGTCGATACAACCTTGACCGGGTCTAAACCCAGCCTGGTTCTCACGGCGAAGATGTGGTCGATACAACCTCGACCGGGTCTAAAACCAGCCTGGTTCTCACGCGTGCACCGTTCGTGTGCGAACGGTGATGCTGCGTACCCTGAAATTATGCCAACAGTTTCACAATATGCAACTAAGCTCATGAAAATTCCACTTTAACCTGAGTCATAAGCCGAAAAGATACAAAATGGTCAGTGCATCAATCGTCTATTCGACTCGTTGACAGTACTGAAGACTTCTGTTTTTCATAACATTGGATCTTGTACAATAAGGAATTTGGGAGCTTATGCATCAGCTTTAACAGATAACCCGTTCGTACCAAAGTTCCATTATGGGTGAACAATGGCGTATCCATATGACATTTTTCCAACATGAAGGACTCGATTAAATCTCCCTTAAGCGTCGCTCTTGCAAGGAGATAAAGCTGAGACTCCGTGGCCGGCTGGGGGTGGTCACAAACACTCGTAAATAGACGGTGGACTGCCCGAGGACGTCCCTTGCACCTCCAATTGACTATCAATGAATGCAGAAAGTTAGGTTTCATGAGCCTTTATAAAGTGACATCAGGAATCCCTCGTTGATTTTTGCTACTGGTACAATTCTGTCGAATTTTGATGCTACCAGTGGGCACTGTTCTTCCGCATGAGACAGTAAACAGACATAATAAACCTTGTGACTGAATCAGCTCATGTAGCGGATGAGTAACCTGGAGCATTGACTGCCTCTTAATTTAAACAACACGCAAATAGTGGCAGCGAAGTGGGGCCACATGCAATCTCGCAAGAGAATGGACAACAGCGGCAACGACAGCAAGTTCGACGACTTGAGGAGGCCCATTTCGTTCACCTACCAATGGGGTGCATTTTGGGCAATATCCGAGAAGTGCATCAAAAGCATCTCGTGCACTCTAGATCACACTTGAAATGCCCTGGTAGGATGAACATATAACCGAGGAAATTATTGCGAACTGAGTTTAAAGAAGACTCAAATGGATTATGTAAGGCAATGTCTAATTGTCCATATAACCAAACCAAGGGTTTTCACCTAATCTGAAGATAGCTGAACGAGTGCTTATCAGCATCAATGGTGACAATGTACGAAGCACAAGACTGGTGCCCATCATAAATCAGAGGGCAGCAAGTACTGAACCGATATTATTTGGACAGTAGCCGTTGATCTGATTTGATAAGGTAAGCAGTAATCTGAGCGGTTTGGGTAGTGAAATACATACAGAGCTGTTCGCTTACCAAAGATTAATGAAACACTAAATAAAAGCACTCGGAATTGAGAAAGTGTGCACCAAACAGCGAAAAACAACTGGGTGCATAACGCAACTGGGGTTATAGACAGCGAGCTCAGAACTTCACCAGAGAACCGCGTATAATTCATTCATCAAAGAGTGAACTTACCTCACACTTATCGACGTCGGAATCGGCATTCAAATGCAGTTCTACAGTGAAAATGGATCGTTATAGATAATGTGTACAAACCATCTGCGTATCCGTTAGATACAGAAGGATAGTCCTTCGATTCGTCAAAGAGGGATTTGCTGAGTGTGGGAGGGAACAAGGAGTCGCTGAGAAATAAATTATCCTCGGAAAGTGGAATTCCGTTCATATTTCCGATTAGACTACCGGATGAAGAGCAGTAGGAACTCAGACGAGGTAAAGGACTTCCCGGTGACGTGAGGACGCTATCTAGCCGTCGGACAGAGGGATAAGAGACCACTGGTCGGTTTCGAACGGAGGTTTTGTCTGATAAGATGGTCTTGTCATGCGTCAGAAGTGAACCTTTTATCAACGGTCGTTGGAGACTCCGAACAGGAATTGCTTCATCGTAAAATTTTTCCAAAGGATACTGGCATGGACGCGATGCAACTTCCTTAAGTGACCGAAGNTTAGCTCTTATTGTATCAGTACGCTCATGTAACCGGGAGTTTTTTGGCGCAATTGACTTGAAATCATCCAGCATTTTTCGGAGCTCCATTAATGTTGGGGAAGTACGGGGAGTTGTTACTTCTTCATCACCATTTGCCTCGAAATCTTCATCATACGCAGTGGGCATTGATTTAGTGGTTTTCCTCGTTCTTTCCATATGACCTCCATTTAACACATCTGGAGCATTTTCGTCGGATGATAGAATGTTACTGGGATTCACGTAGGGATTTCCTGAACTTATCAAAGAGATATCACCATTGAAACGATGACATGAAACCACTCCAGTGTCTTCCATTCCTCATAAATCAATTCCAATATTAGTAACACGAAAGGGGACGGACTGGAGCCCGTGCGCGCGCACGAGGTAGATTACATAACACCACTTGGATTGATACATTCAAACAAGGCCAAGCCCAATCACTCAGTTCAGTTCAGTTCAGTTGCACAGGACGAATATGGCTCTCGCCAATCGAGCGTCCAGCTCGTTGTGTTGTCGGCGGATGGGAGTAGCTTCCAACACTGCGTATAGTTGATTGGG